TATGGCAGAGGCTTTGGCCTCAGCACATGTCATCTCTGCACACCCCACAGTTTCCCTTCTCACTTCCCATGTGAGTTCTCCTGTCTGGTCAATGCCTTGTTCTGCCTCTGGCCACTTCCTCTCCCACCCCCCTCAACTGCCTGATCATTCCCAAACTCCTCTCGGCTATTCTGGTTGGATTTGGGGATCCTCAGAGGAAAATAGCTATCTGGGTCCTTCCAGACAGGCCTGGGGATTGCCGGTCACCCTAAGACCTGCTCCTTTCTGCAGATGGGCAGATATATCCAGAAGCCGGGGTGGTGTTTCTGAATGCCTGGGACATTAGGCATTCCCAGAGACATCATCCTGGTCCAGGAAGAAGGTCTCTGAGAAAACACCGGGTGAAGGGAAGGAGCTGGATGGGCCCTGCCACGAGCTGGTGGAATGAGAGGAGGTGTCCGTGAGACGGACAGAGCGTCGGTCAGCTGTACTGGTTCACCAGATCCTCTCTCGGTTCAGCTACTTTGAATCTTTTACCAAGAAGGAGAAAAATGGAGGCAGAATCCCCTGTGCCGTTTTTAATTGATTCCTTCGGCATCTGGAGAGAGGCTGGCACAAGGCCAGGGGAAGTCTGAGCCCGGGAATTCATCAAAAATCGACCCATTGATGACTTGATCTGATGAAATAATTAGCTCCTGTTCTCCTGTCTCTGGCCACAGAGCTTTGACTTCCATCCAGAGCAGGAGCGTCCTGGCTGGTGGGTTATAGCTGCCCAGGAAGGGGGGAGGGGGTGTTGCTAAGAAGACCAACGCAGAACACATTCCCAGCTCCACCCACCATCTGGCCCAGGGCTCCCAATAAAGGCTGCAGCTCCCAGCTCCCATGGACCTCACATCACAGGCTCAGAGCCGGAAAGACCATCGGGGGGCACCTGGTGGCCGCCTACCTCTTGATTTAGCAAATAAGGAAACTTAAGCTGGGAGACTTAGGAACTTGCCCAGAGGTCTCCTTCAAGGAGGTTCTGATTGAGCAGGCTGACTCAAGCCAGACTCATTCTCTGACACTTATTGAGCCATGTGATCATGGGAAAGTGTTTTTCACTCTCTGGGCCTCAGCTTCCTCATTCATAAAATGGGTATAATATCAATGGGTGGAGGTGCGGATGAAATGAGTTGGTGAGTGTAAAATGCTTACAGCAGGAGCTGGAGTATTGCAAGCTCCCAATAAGCATTTGCTATTATTGTTTCTTGTATAAGAGAGTTGCTGTTTGTAGGGCATCCTTTGGCAATCCTCTCTATATTTTATCCCTCAGGGTCTACATGAAGGAGTATGAATGTGGATTTTAATGGGTGTGCAAAGCACAAAGCATCCTGGTGTGTTTCCCCAGGGGGGACATGGGCCCATAACATGATTTGAGGACCCCATTATCTGGGGTAATTCAGGGACCCGTTAGATGGCTAGAGCTTGTCTGCTTTTCACCCCTTTGAAGCCTCCCATTACCTCCAGGAGAGATGGTGCTAATATGCTTTGACTCCTTTAACATCTTCTAATCTCCCTTAAAGAGAGAGACGGCAGGTTCAAGAATAGGGGAGCACAGGGCTGGCCTTGGAGCCTTCAACATGAACTAGATGCTGTTCGACCCAATAACACTGTATCTGTTTTCTTTGACTTTTTGTGGTTAGTTTTACAAGGAAAGTTTGCTGATTTTCTGTTTTTTCGTTGAATACAAAGTTTCCTTTTCCAGAAACATGTATTTGTATTTTTATTTTCAAAAGAGGTCATTTAAAGAAGCATGTGAAGGAAATAATGGAAGGGTTGTGCAGAAAGGGCAGAAATCGGGGCTGTGGCACTTGAGTGGGAGAAGCTGGGATATGTGAGATTAGTGGTGAGAGGCCCAGGCTGAGCAGGGAGAGCAGAGCCAAACCCTGTCTCTGCCATTTTCTCTCTGGGTGATCATGGGACAGTGATTAAGCTCAGTTGTTCTCAGCTGTAAAATGGGGATAGTATGTACCTGTGTGAGACAGTGGGTGTGGGGATTGACTGAGATGCTGCGAACAGAGTGCCTGACGCACGACCCAGCTGCATTAATAATAATAATCCAATAAGAGCTCACACTGTCAGTGATGTGTTCCCGTTAATACCATGTGCCAGGCACAACTAGTCTCAACACTCCATGTTAACTCCTTAACCCCTTACACCCATTTTATAGATGAGGAAACTGAGGCACAGAAGTGTTTTTAAGTTGCTTGCCCAGGGTCACCCAGAAAGTAACTCCGTGTCTTAACTGGCACCCAACATGGCACAAAGCAGGTGCTCAGTACACAGTGGATACGGGGGCTCTGGCTGAGAGATGTGTTTCAGCACACTCTGGGGTTGAAGATGGAAGTCAGTGCTTGCCCTCCAGACCCATGGAACTCACGGTTCTCAGTCAGCTGCCCTGATAAAGTGATGTCCTGTCAGAGGCCCCTGGGGAGGGGGGCCCTGTGTGGAGCCTACCCGGCTCCCCTAGAGAGAGGGAGTTGAAGGCACTGTTTTCAGAGGTGGGTTGGGGATAAGGGAGCAGACAAGGAATGGTGCAGCTCCCAGGCACTAGCAGGGGAGGGGAACCATGACTACCCCAGGCTCAGAGGGCCAAGAGGAGGGACAGACACTTAGAGCTGGGGGAAAGCTGGAGCTGGGAGAGGCCCTGACTGCAGCTGTGGCCAGACTAGAGAGACAAAGGGACTGGGAGCCACCGCGTGCTGGAGAGGGAGCAGGGAGAGTGAGTAGGCTGGTTGCCCACCTCCTCCCCCCTTCAGCCTCCCAGCAGGGTTTCCACTGGTGGAGCCAGCAGGTAGCCAGAGATGCAGTCTGCAGAGCTCTGCTTCCTGGGGCACCCAGCAGGATGGAGAATGGATCAGGGGACACAACGATCAGCCCACCCCTGGACCCTTCCTGGGGTCTTTTCAACCACATCATGCCCAGAGAACTCAGAGTAGCCAGTTCCTCCTGGTGACTCAGGAAGGGTGATGGGGAGGGCGTTGCTGACAGAGATCTCTGAGCCTCTGGACCCAGGTTATCATGCAGCCCTGCCGAGCCCAGCATCCCTGACTCTGCAGAGCTCAGAGGACCTTAACCAAACCTCTGCTTCTTTATTTATCTGAATATGTATTTGGCGTGCTATGTGACAAGCATGGTCCTAGGTGCCGGGGACCAAGCTGTGATTAACACAGGCCCACTTCCTGCCCTTGTGGAGCTGACCCTTCAGTGGGGAGAACTGGGCAATAAATAAGACAATTGTAGGTTGTAGTAGGGATTATGAGGGAAATAAAAAAAGGTTATGCAATACAGAGAGTGCCTCTGGTGGAGACACCACCTTCAGTAGGCAGTCAGGGCAGCCTCTCCGAGAAGGTGACATTTGTGCCAAGGCTCATCAGAGGTGAATGAGCACATCATACAAAATCTGGAGAAAGACTCTTCCAGGTTTAAGGAAGAGCAAGTGCAAAGGCCCTGGGGCAGGAACAAGCCTGACTTGTCCAAGCAACAGAAAGGAGCCAGTGGGACTGGTGAGCAGTTGAGAAGGGGGAGAGGGGGGCAGGGGCTGAATCACATGAGCCCTGGTGACCCTGGTAGGGAGTTTGCGTTATAGTGCCTGAGCCATGAGAAGCCAGGGGAGAGTCTGAGCAGGTAAGTGACAGGACTGGGACTAAGGTGAGATAAGCGCCTTGAACTTGTACAACCTGGAGTGAGTGTCCCTTCAATTTTGTGCTGTGAGCGCCTCCCTCAGTGAGTGATACGATCTGATTTGAATTTTCAGAAATTCACACCCTGCCCTGGGGTTAATGGAAAGGAGGCGGGGTGGAGGCAGGGGAGACCCCTTAAGAGGCTTTTGCAATCCCTAGGAGAGATGATGAAGGCAACACACTCCACTCTGCAAAAACTGGGGCCCTCGCCGAGTTCCCTGTGCCTTGACTTTGGGGTGCGGTTCCCCGTGGTCCTTCCAGGTCACAAGGATGGTGACTCAGCCTGACTCTGAGTTTGGTTTCCTCTCAGCAAGTCTTTTTGCTCTCTCTCCCTCTCCCTCTCCCTCCTTAAATAAATGAGTCCAAAAGTCTATATCTGAACAAGACTTGAAGGCTCATTTCCTCAAGAAGTAGAAAACTGACCACAGAGACCAAAGAGCAGGGGGAGAGCAGAGACTGCCTGAGCCAGTCTGCGCCCTCCCACCTCCTCTCCCTGACCTTTGCATGTGATCTGATCTGGGGTGTGGTGGGATGGGGGGTGGCTGAGGTCACAGTGGAATGTGCAGTTCTGTCATTTTGTTTATTCTACAACTTAAAACTAGTATGAATAACTTGCCCAGCTCTGGGAGCCTTTACACACATCCCGACGGGGTTGGGTTCTTGTAACAGCCATGTCTCCCCATGTTCCCCACTGGCTTACTGATGGGGAAACCGAGCTGGTGAGTGATGGAGTTGAGACTGAAACATGGGGAGTCGTCCAGCCCAAAGGTGATGGACGCCATTGCCGCCCTGGGGTCCAGACCCCTCCCTGAGCCACATGCTGCCTGGGTGCCGGGCTGCAGCCCCTCCCCCCTGCATCTTCTGCAGTGCCCGCTGAGAAGAGATGGCCAGAAATATCTATCCCCCCAAAGCAGGCTGCTTCTTTTCCTTTCTTGGGGGGCTGATTTGTCCATGGAAGTGGTTGCATGGTTCAGTGGCAGGCTGCTCATCTGATTTGGGACTTGAGCTGCCACCAACACATCCAGACATGTGCTGGTCCAGGGGACAATTCTGGCTGCAGAAGTGGTCATTGAAGTCTTCCCTACCAGCCTATCACCTGAGCGAACTGCAAATACTTTTTTGGTCACTTGCTCCGAGTTAGATGTTTGTTCTGCTAGAGCCGCCCCCGATCAGATAAACTGCCGTCGTCCACGTCAGAGGCCACCGTTCGTGTCACTATGCAAGTCTGAGCAGCTGGTACGTAAAGATTGACACGATTCTTTCTCTGCTACTTTAGATCCGTGAGCAGAGAGGGAACAGGGCAAAGAAACAAGCCCACCAGACGCAACTGCAGACTCCTGCCTCCTGCAAGAAGCCACGGATCAGCAGAAACAGAAAATGGCCCGCCCCGGCCTCCTGCTGTGCTTGCTCTCCGCATCTGTTCTCCCTCTGCTGGGCGAGAGCTCCGCCTTCCTGTCGCACCACCGCCTGAAAGGCAGGTTTCAGAGGGACCGCAGAAACATCCGCCCCAACATCATCCTGGTGCTCACGGACGACCAGGACGTCGAGCTCGGTAAGCACCCTGGTCAGCAGGTGGCATCTCCCCGGAGTCACCAGGGCCATCTGCTGGGGCCAAGGCTCCTGATGCAAGATGCTCATGTCAACCTGTAGAATTCACTTCTAGTGGATTTAACCAAGTCACAGGGGTTGCCCCACATCTGTGGATTCGCAGCTAGGTCCTCAAGGTTAGGGGTCTCCAGCCTTATCCTTCTGCAAAACCCTTCTTGGATTTCTCCAAAGTCTTATGAAGAAGGCATGTTAAGACCAATTCGTATTTTCACCTGATTTCTGTTGAGTATCTGCCATGTGCCAGGCATTATTCTAGGACCTGGAACTTCAGTAATGAGTAAGAAAGGCACAGTGCCTGCTCTCATAGAGTGAGGGACACAGATCCTCAGGACAACTATAAGTTTACACGTAAAATAATTTCAAGAAGGAGAAATGCTCCTGTGAAACTGATGAGGGCGCTGTGCTGGATGGGCTGGTGGTTGGAGCTGCTTTGGATTGGTAATCAGGGAGGGGCTTTCCGAGGAGGGAATGTTTGAGCTGACACTGAACAAAAGAAGGAACCGGCCCTCCCGTGCATATGAACACACACATATATGTGTGGACCCCTGCTCCACCCATCTCCACAGCTGTGGGTGGGCTCAGCTTTCCTGGGTGGCATCCAGGGGCAGGAAGCCGTCCCTATTGGCAGTGACCTGACCCAGTTCAGAAAGATGATGCCTCAGGAGGATGAGCTTGGCCGGCTCTGATCTTGAGCTTCCTCCCCACGCAGCACTGTGGGCTCCAGGTAGCGCAGGTGAGGACAGGGGCCCTTGCCTAGGTTTAGATCATTTACACTGGTGGCAGGCACGGCAAGAACTCCCAGCTGCTGTGTCCAAGGGCTTCTGCAGCTCAAGGCCTCTGCACCTTCCCTTTATTCCCCACTCAAGCCACCCTGGGCCACATCCTTTGTTCACTGTATAAACCATCCGGACTCCTCCCTGCCCTCCTAAGCAAGACCATAGACTCCTCCACCCAAGCTCTGGGTGGCTTCATTTGTATGAGAAGGATACCCTATAAATGAGGCCACCAAGAGTGAGGCGTCCAGAAAGTCTCACTTGGACCTTCTGTTCCCCTGGCTCAAACTCCATTTATATTTCCAGCTCATCTCAGAGGCTCTCCCAAATAGAAGCCTTCTTTCTCCTTACCTTGTGTCTTCTCACTATTGAATTTACTGATTTTGTGGGTTCCATTTCTCCACATTAAACCCTAAACCAGCGCTGCCTATAGAATTATATGCCCTCCACAAATGCAAATGACATAAGTAATGTAAAATTTTCTAATTGCTACATTTTTTAGAAAGTAAAAAACAACTGGTGAAATTAATTTTAATAACATTCTGTTTAGCCTACTCTATCCAAGTTATTATCATCTCAACATGTAATCAATATAAAAAATCATTAATGAGACATTTTATGTTTTTTATATTGTTTTCAAAATCTGGCATGTATTTTATGCTTAGGACACATCTCAATTAGGACTAGTCACCTTTCAGGTGCCCAGTAGCCATTTGTGGCTTGTGGGGACGTTCTGGACAGCACACAAGCCTTGCACACTTTCCTTCGCCTATAAATTAGATTTCCCTTATCATCAATACTACTCTTTATTGTAAATATCTGGGGGAAGCCTTCTAAGCAGAGGGAATAGCATGTGCAAAGCCCCTGAGGCAAGACTTAGGAGAAGGAAGTGGCTGAAACCTGGGAGAGGGATGTAGGAAATGAGACTGGGGAGAGGATGCAGCCAGATCTTGGAGGCTCTCTTGGGTTGTGGTAAGAAGCAATTGTAGTCGCCAAGTGAGGGGTTGCCTTTTAGCCTCTGCCCACTCTCAAAGGACAACCGAATATCACCAGTGGCAATCAAATTTAGAGGGTTAATGGGTAAGCCTTTGCAACCAAATGTAAGATTGTGTTGAAGATCCAACTGCAAATCTACACCCTTTTCGGATCCATTATTAAAAACATGAATCAGTCTTCTAACTGCCAAGAAAGGGTGATTTATATAAACCCAAGTCACTCCTTGTAATGATTTATATTAATGATCACAAGTATAGATTTTTCTCAAGGAGCTTATCAGTGCAAAGAGAATATGCAGCCAGGAAGTAATCAGAGCCCAGAGCTCTTATTGACAGATTGACACACATGATCCCTATCTCCCCGGCACCATTTATCATGAGTTGCATTTGATAACCGTGGGGCATCTACAGACTGTGGCCATAGGGAAGTGGTTGTTGTTTCTGGCAGAATTTTGCAGAGAGCACGTGGACTTCAGAGCACCTTGGTCTCGCCTCATGGGGCCCCTCGAGCTATTTTGATCTAGTTATGCCTGGGAATTCAAGGCACCCCGGACGTTCATTCGTGCACTCACCAGGAATCTATTAAGCATCTGCTCTGTGCGGTGCACTGTCCTGGGAGCGTCAGGGCTGGGAAAGGGCTGTTCCAGGTAGAACAGAAAAGGCAAAGATACCGAGTTAGAAACGAGCTTGGTGGGTAGAGGCAGGAAAAATGGCTGTGAGCGGCAGTGGAGTTAGCCGGGGGATAAATGGAGAGACACGAGGCCAGGAGTTGACTGGGACCAGGTCGTGGGGGGCCTGTGGGTCATGGTGAGGATTTTGGGTTTTACTCTTACTGAAAGAGACATGGATTGGGACCTTAA